TGTTGTTCCCCCTCCTTCTCGCCTTCTCCTCCACCCCCTGCGCTTCGTGCCGTGTGGGCTGCAGCCGGGGTGCGTTTTTTAGCACGGCGCGTCCGGCGCTTCCCGCTCCTCCTCCTCCTCCTCTCTTCCTCTCCCGTTGTCGTCTGCTTGCTCCCCCTTCCCTTTCCCCCTCCCTTCCCCTCTCCCCCCCCCTCCCCCTTCCTATCCTTCCCTGCTCCTCTCCCTCTCCTTTCAGTGCTGCTTTCCTTGTGGTTGGATGCCACGCAGGGCCGGGCAGGCCTTCTTCTCGCTTCCAGGACGTTTGATGGGAGAATCCATCCCGTCTTTCGGTCTCCTGCTCTCGTGGTGTCTCTGGGAGACGTCGCTCGCGCAGTCTTTTAAGTTCACGTGTGGTGGGGTCATTTGTTCGTGCTGCAGCGAGGTTAGTAAAGATAAAGAAGGAAGATATGGAAAATCTAATCAATAAAAATATGTGATGCACAGTAAAAAAACAAACAAGTTTAAACGCATTAATAACAAACATTAAAGAACATGATTCAACATAAAATATCCTAAGAAGTAACACGCGTAAATTTAACGAACTAAGATTTTTTTAAAACAAATAAAAAACAAATGCGCAAACTAATTATATCATAACACAAGTTGTTACTAGCGCGTGTGATGATTCTCTTTCGATTGCTGTGCCGAACAGCTTTGCAGCTCATCTACAGATCGAGTCAAGTTGAGAAAACCGACAGCGCCTACCAATATGACACTGAGTACCCACATGCTTTCTGGCGTTGAGATTAAGATGGCGAGGGAATCTGATCGAATATAAGGGGAACAAATTCTCTATCAATTGTTCAGATTTTGAGAAAATCCATTTAAATAGGTAAAACAACATAATACCCGTCGAGAATTTTTCGCCAACTAGCCCGCTGGCGCGCCGGAATTACTCTCTAGCTTCACCGCTTCGCTCCTAGGGAAGCTCTACGAGTCCTTGTCAAAAGTCCATGCACGAATGCAGACGTGCCAACGGAGTGTCCTTGCCAGGGCTAAAGAAAGCGCATATCGTTGTCCAGATGGTAATGCTTTCAAAATCCGGGGGGTATTGTTTGGCTGCAAATTGGTTGTGTCAGGCGTTGTATCGGAATGTGTGCAGAGTGCGGATGGCGAGTGTTGTCGTTCTTTCGTTGGCGCAAATATCACACGCAGTTGGAGATAATCATGCTATGCTAATCGTATGTTTTATAATTCATCGAATATCGAACGTGTGATTTTTCGCATGCCTCGGACTCCGTTCTCGCTTATTTTGGACCATGTGCAGCGCGATCTTTTGGTGCAAATTGGCATCACTAATCAACCCCAAAACATAATACGTATGCTCTTGTGCGAACGCTTAAGAGCGCTTTGGAGCGATTGGGAGCGATTGTGAACGCTTGGGGGCGCTTGGGGAATTGAGAAGTGTGGGGGCACCTGGGAGCGGGTGGGAGCTTTTGGGAAACCTTGGGGGCACTTGGGGATCGTGGGGGCGCCTGGGACCGCTAAGGGGCGCCCGGGAGAACGCCTGGCACCGCTGCTTTTGGGAACGCCTGGGAGCGCCTGGGAGCGCTTGCGCGCGTTTGGAAGCGGTTGGGGGCGCTTGCAAGCGATTGGGGGCGCTTGGATAGGGGGCCGCATGCGAAAGTGAATCCCGCTCTCCCCCTCAGATATCGCGGGGGGTAGGGGTAGGGTTCACGTCTGGGGACTGTCAGCGAGCGCCTGCGAACGCCGCGACGAAACCCTCCATTTGTGAAACTGTTGCCAGTTTTGAGCTTTAGATTCCATACGTGGTACGGAGTTCTCAGGCGGAACGCCCGGCCCGCCTTTCCGATTGGCTCTGGGATGCGACAAGGATGAGTTATTCAGAAGGAGGAGGAGGAAGAGGAAGAGGAGGAGGAGGAGGAACAGGTGCATGCTTAGGAATATGTGGAGGTGGTGGAGGAGAAAGAGGAGGAAAACATGAGGAGAAGCAGCACCAGTGTAAGCCCAAGACGCACAAACGGACGATTTTGCGATAAACCCATTCGTTTTTATTGGAGGAAGTGTTTCCTGGGAAGACCACCGTTTGAACATTCTGAGCTGTGCCAGAACACCATTCCTGGGAGTTCAGCGCCGCGACTCACCGTTACTGTTGCGTTTTGACGCTTCTGAATCGTGCCAAAACACCGTTTCTGCGACTTGAGCATCACGAATCAACGTGATTGTGGCGCCCTGACAGGCCGACCGACATCATGCCAAAATGTGCGTGTTGGATATTATCCATGAGCTTCGTTGGAACTGTTGTAAACTCTCAAACGAGTGTGAGCGGCGCAGAGGCCAGAGCCACATTTTGAAAAGGAACCGCCGACCATCCGTGTAACGCTTGCAAGCTTTAAGACGAATGTGCGCGGCGCTAATGGTGAGAGCCCCATTTAGAGATCGGCCCGGCCTCCATCAGCGCGGATCAGCGAAAACCACGTTTTGAAGACCCCCCGCCCTCACTCTGTGAATTTGTTGCAAATTCCAAGCTTCAGGATCATCAGTAGTCAGGAAGTTTCAGGCGAAACGCCTGGGCCGCCCTTTCGACCAGCCTCGGGGTGCGACAGGGACCTTTTAGTAGGTTTTTTCCCTCCATATAATATCTCCTTTAACTTTTCGTTTGTTTAGTTTTTTTTTTTCTCTCTCTCTCTCTCTCTCTTTTTTTTTTTTTTTTTTTTTGTTTTTCTCTCTCTCTCTCTCCCTCCTTATATTTAGAACAAGATAAAAAGAGTGGAGGATGAGAAGAAGGAGGAGGAGGACCAGTGTAAACCAAAGACCCACCAACGATGTTACAATACACCCTCCAAGTTTCTTCTTCATAGGCCTTTATAAGGGTTCATGTTCACTCATGCAGATGCCACATTGGGAGACAATCGTCTGAAAATCCGGAGCTGTGCCAAAACACCATGCTTGGGATTTCAACGCCGCGAATCAGCCTTAATGTCGCGTCCTGACGGTCCTTAGTCGTGCCACAACACCGTTCCAGGGAATCCAATTTCGCGAATCAACGTGACCGTTGCGCCTTTGCCACACTTTTAAGACGAGTGCGAAGGTGCTAAGTTCAGAACCACATTTTGACAACGAGCCGCCCTCCATCCGTGAAGTTCTGGTCAACTTTGAAGACGAATGTGCGCGGCGCTAAGACGAGAACCACACTTTGGAAACGGCCCGCCTTCATCCGCAAAGCTCTTGCAAACTTGTAGGTCTTGTGTGCGCGGCGCTAGGGCGAGAACATTTTTTTGAAAACGATCCGCCTTCCATCTTTGATATTCTTGTAAGCTTTACAAAGATGAATACGCGCAGCGCTAAGGCGAGAGTGACATGTTGAAAACGACCTGCCTTCCTTCCGTGATGCTGTTGCAATTTGTTTATATCAGGATCGTAAGTGGTGAGGAAGTCTCGGGCGAAACGCCCAGCCCGCCCTACCGACCTGCCTCGGGATGCGACGGGGGACAGTTACTTCTGAGGAAATGGAATGGAGGATGATGTGGAGGAGTATGAGGAAGAGGAGGAGGAGGAGGAGGACAGAAAGGAGGAGGACGAGGAGGAGGAGGAGGAATATGAGGAGGAGGAGGATGAGGAGGGGGAGGAGGAGGAGGAGGAGCAGGTGGAGGAGAAGGAGGAGGAGGATGAGTAGGAAAAGGAGGAGGAGAAGGAAAAAACGCGAATGCACGGGGAAGGAGGAGGAGGAGGAGGAGGAGGAGGAGGAGGAGGAGGAGGGAGGAGGAGGAAAATAACGCAAATGCATGGGGAAGAAGAGGAGGTGGAGGAGGAGGAGGAGGAGGAGGAGGAGGAGGAGGGGGAGGCAGGGTGGGGAGGCGAAGGAGGTGCCGACCCAGGGCCGGGGCTACCGGGTGCACGCGGAGTCTGCGGGCCCCGGTTCGCGCACCCCTGTCTCTTCTAGGATCTGCCCTCGTTTGAAGCGTGTGGTCATTTCTGGGGGAGGGCGGTGCGCCGCCCCCCATCAAAGCGCGGGCCGGACACGCGGCCCGCCTGCAGAGGAGGAGGAGGAGGAGGAGGAGGAGGAGGAGGAAGAGGATGAAGAAGAGCAGGAGGACAGGAAGGATAATGCCGGAGGCATGAAGATGAGGGGGATGAGGCAGGAGGACAGGGGGAGAAAGGAGGAGGGGGCAGGACGAGAGTCCCAGGCAAGGTAAACATGTTTGCCTGCGTTGTCCTACTGTCCGAGTAATTTCGTACATCGGACCGTTGGTCATCATGTCTGTTTGTCAGGCAGCGTTCAGACAACAAACACGGGGTATGCGAACCTGTCGGGTCGATCCAGTTCTGCTGCTGCGCGTATCTAACACCGCGCTAGGAACGCAGTGTATGATGCTGCAGTCTGGCGCGACCGACTGCTGGACTTTGTGGCTGGTGGGGGTGTCGTGGGGCTGTCTTGGGGCCTGCATGGGGCCGTCTGAGCAAGCAGTGTTTTGCCAGTAAAGGGCTGCTCTCAGGCTGTCTGAGGGGGCACTGGGCTGTCTCACGGCTGTCTTGAGTGCCTCCATGGAGCATGTTCCAGGGCAGCTTGGGTGCCGTATGCAGGCGGTCCAGAGGCCATCCGGCATTGTTCAACACAGATGAAGGAAATCAGGTTAAATGTTTTGACCTTCCCAGGGGCTTCCTAGAGAGTATATAGTAAATTTCGGGGGATCTTCCTGTGGTAGTGGGGCCGTCTTTGGTGGTTTGGCGGGCGTTGATACAGCCTGTTGCAGTCTCTGGAAGTTTAAGAGCAGTCTCGGGTACGCTGGGAAACCATCGCTAAATTTCCAAGCCGATGTTTGTGGAGCGCACACAGTTTTCCCGAACGTGTTCAGTGTAATCATCTTCGCAAGCATGTAGGGCGGCGTCGTTGCGTGCGACCTTGCAGACGTAACGACTCATTTGCTTTTGCTTGCAGTTGCCACTTTTGCTTGTGAAGTTCGGACAGCTGCCTTGTGAATTTAGGTTCTTGTTTGCAGGATTTTTTTCAATCTCGAGCCGCGGATTTCACAAGTTCAGGGGCCTTCCGCGCGTGCATCGCCATGGATACGAAAGCCGCCGATGTCACTATCCCCGCCATCGTTGTCGTGGTGGCGTATGCGGGAAGCTTGATATACCACGGGGCGACTTTCAAGGCTCATTCAGGGTAAAGGGGCGAAGCAAGGCTGTTGCAAGTCATATGTCGGCAGTCATGTGTAGGGACGCGCTTTTCACATCAATGATAGCAACATTATTCTCAGCGGTCGCAGGAAAGCTTGCCTTCTATTTCTTGGTCTTGTCGTGCAAGTTGGTCGATGGGGTTTTCCAGTGAGCCGTGTGCCTCATGGGACTCTTGAATATCGGTGGTTTCCGTATTCCTGAGTTCGCCAAGCATTATTTTCATTGAGTGGGTTTTTGTTCTATTTTCAAAAAGGTTTTCTAGCCGTAGCACTTCTCTCGCCAGCCCGGCCCTGTCCGCGCGGCCCTGCTGCTGCCTTGCAGTGCCGCCAAGTTTGTTCGCTCGCCGCGTCCTCGATTGCCCTTGGCCCTCATGTTGCCCAACGTTGCTGCTAATTTCTTTTTGGTGGCTGTGTCCCCGACTGTCCCTGGCCCTGCTGTTGCGCTGCATTGCCGCCGGATTCTTTTGTTGGCCGTCTTCCCGATTGTCCCTGGCGCTGGTGTTGGGCAGTGTTGCGCCAACTTTCTTCGAAAGCTGTGACGCCGTCTGTCCTTGGGCCTTGTATTGCCTTGCGTTGCCATCGACTTTCTTCGCCATCCGTTGTGTTAGACGCTGTCCCCGTTTCTCTCTGGCCCTGGTGTGGCCTCGAGGTGACGCCAATTTCTTCTTTGGCAGTGTCCCCGACCCTTCGTAGTGCCGCCTTGCATAGCCGCCTTTTTTGTCGACCTTGTGCCCGAGTGTCCCCGAATGTCCTCGCCTGTCTCTGGCCCTGGTGCTGCGATGTGTTGCCGTCAATTTCGTTCCTCAGCCGTGTCGCCGACTGTCCTGGACTGTCTCGAGCTGTGGTGCTGCCCTGCACGGTCGCCTCTTTTTCGTTGGCTGTGGCCTCGTCTTTTCTTATCCTGGCCGCTGCACTGAATTCGGCAGCGAGGGGGAAAGTGGGAAGGAGAAGTTCTTCTCAGATGGCGGGGGGCCTTATCAGAAGTCCTTGAGCCCTCTGAACAGTTTTTTGTGTGTCCTCCGGGAAGGCTCAGAAAACTTATCAGAAGGCTGGGGGGCTTCCGAGCCTTCTGAGAAGGCCCGCCTTTTCTCACTTCCAATCTCGCTTGCCGCCAATGCATTGCAGTCGATTTCGTCGGCTGTGCCCCCGAATGCCCCAGCTTTTCTCTGACTTGACGAACCGTCTCCAGCCGTTGTGCTGCTCTGCCGTGTCGCCAAGTTCTTTCGCTGACCGTGTCACCTTATCCCGCGGCTCTCGTGCTGTTCTCATTCATGATTTGTAGTCGGCGCGCCAGTCTCATGTTCATTTTGATGTCAATCATTGCGTCGCTTGTCAGGTCTCCCACCCCGAGTCACCTTTGTGGTAAGGCACATGATGATGTTATGTCGTATTTTTGCTTCTAAGTATCACGGATCCAGTTGCCAGAAATACTCGGTGGAAGAGGATTTTGTAGCTCAGTTGTATGACTCTCGGGTCGTGAAGTTTCAGTCTCGTGCTCGTGGATCTACAGTTCACGCGTGATCTTGTTTCAGGACAGTCACTGCAGATTGCATTCGTGCAAAACAGGAAAGCATGTTGTTGCCCAGAGTTGCGTAGCATTGCGCAAACAGATGTGCCCACAGGAGTTCTTCACGTTCACGAACAAGTCGGACTACGTTTTCTTGGCAACAATGGCGGTGCACATGCTCAAGTGTTGCAATGATGCGCGTGGAGCGGTAAAGGGTGTGTATTGGCCGGCCGGTGCCTTAGTTTTTTCGGATGCAGCGTTGCATTTGTAGTGTTGAATGTTGTAGATGGCGAACGTGTTGTGCTCTCCAATTCTTTGTTGTTAGGGCTGCAAATTGAATTGAGCACTGCTGCTCCCCTGTCCTCCAACCTTCTCCTCCCTCCCTACTCCGCATCTAATGTTTTTGTCTTTGCTTCCTTCGTTACTTCCTCTCATCCTTAAGCAAACGACACAACCAGCAACAACACTGTAGGGCTTTGTTATGCAAAGGAGGGCGGGGGACGTTGGTGTGCGCAAGTTTTGAGACATCACGTGGGAAAGGGAGATGTCAGGACAACGTGTGGGATGATTGAAACATTCGCAAATTTCAATTTCTGTTGGCTGGCCACGCAATCAGGTCGGGCTTGTCTCCTGCGGAGCTGCGGCCATGGGAGGTGGCTTCCTCGCACCTCTGATGGTTGGCCGCAGTCCAGTCGTCTTCTTGGAAGAGACTCTCTTCTGGATGCTGATCGCTGCATGGTGATCATGCCTGCTTCACCGCTTCAATTGTTTGCAGTCGTAGCTCTTTCTTCTACTCGTTTTCTCGCCATGCGCGCATTCCATCTCGAAGCGGTGGGCAGCATTCTGTGGTTCGTGTTGGGCGAGTTCAGAAAGTACAGTGTTGCTAGTAACGTGAGGCAGGGGGCTCGCTTCTTATGGCTGTTGAGAGTCTAGAGAGAGAGAGAGAGAGAGAGAGATAGAGAGAGAGGAAACAAGAGTGTTTGTGCGCGCGTGCGATTACCGCGGCAGCAGTTTAGTTTCTTCAGCCCTATGTGTGTTGCGCATGTGGTTTTACGTCTGTCTGCTGCTAGGCTGTATCAACGCCGTCGTATGCATGCGATGTCAAATGCACGACCGCCCAGTGGGCTTATACATCGAAGTCGCCTACGGCGAACCACCGCCGCCCCCTGCCTTCTGGAAACACCCATGCGGGCAAACGTTGGGCCTACGTTTGGCCACGCTGTTGGTCTATGTGTTCTCTCATCCATTATGGACCCCCTTGGGGGAACACTTGTGAGAGAAAGAGAAATGATGATGATGATGCTGATGATGATGATGATGATGATGTTGCTGATGCTGATGCTGATGCTGATGCTGATGATGATGATGATGACGATGACGATGACGATGATGATGCTGATGATGTTTATGATGATGATGATGCTGATGATGCTGATGATGATGATGATGATGATGATGATCATGATGATGATGATGATGATGATGATGATGATGCTGATGATGATGATGATGCTGATGATATTGATGATGATGATGACGATGATGATGATGATGATGATGATGCTGCTGATGATGATGATGATGTTGATGATGATGATGATACTGATGATGATGATGATGATGATGATGATGATGATGATGATGATGCTGATGCTGCTGATGCTGATGATGCTGATGATGTTGAT